CTACATAAGGTAGATCCCAAAAGAAAGTCACCAAGACATTATAATCAAACTTGCCAAAACCAAAGATAAAGAGAATTTTAAGAGCGGCTAGGGATAAATGAAAAGTCATCTACAAAGGAGAGTCAGTAAGTTCAGACTACTCAGCAGAAACCATGCAGGCAAGAAGGCAATGGGATGACATATATAAAGCCTTGAAGAAAAAAAATTGCCAGCCAAGAATTATATCCAGCAAAACTGTCTCTCAAATATGATGGCAAAATTACAGCATTTCCAGATAAACAGAAGTTAAGGGAATTTGTAAAAACCAAACCAAAATTACAAGAAATACTAAAAGGAGTCCTGCGGTTAGAAAATCAGTAACATCAGACAACATCCCAAGAATACAACACAGGACAGAGCAACCAGATATCAACCCAGATAGGGAAGTCACAAAAATAAACCAAAGCTAAAATACTGAAAATAGGAAAACAGACATCAATATGTAAAAGATGACAACATTAAAACAAAAACGAGGGACTTATAAAATGTGGACATAGATTTTTCATATGGAGAGGAAGTCAAGGCAATATAAAGAAAGAAAAGATTGGTATAAACTGAGAAAAATAGAGGTAAATATTAAGGTAACCACAAAGGAAACTAACAATCTTACAAGTCAAAAAAAAAAAAAAAAAACTAGAAAAATATAAAGACTCAGCAAACATGAAATCAACAACAATGAAAAAGATGAAAATACACAGAATCACAAGGATGGAAATAGTAATATCACACAATCAAATTAAAAAAATCCATCAAAAGTATTTATTGAATATTACCTTTACTTGTTGTTGTTGGGTGCCATCGAGTCGATTCCAACTCATAGTGACCCTGTGTGACACAGCAGAACTGCCCCAAAGGGTTTTCTTGGCCGTAATCTTTAGGTAAGCAGATTGCCAGGTCTTCCTCCCATGAAGATGCTGGGTGGGTTCAAACCATGAACCTTTCAGTTAGCAGTTGAGCGCTTAACCATTGCACCACCAGAGCTCCTTATTACCTATACCAGAGGCCATAACATGTTCACCCTTTACAAGGAGGAATTTAAGTATCCTACAGAAAAGAAATAACTTCCCCTAGCCACTACCATTATATTAAACTGAGAAAAACACCGTATTCCCTGTCAAGGATTCTAAGGTCCATCAGTCAAAAACTGGGTTACTTTTCCTAATTCGGCAAAGTGGTTAAGAGCTACAGCTACTAACCAAAAGATCGGCAGTTTGAATCCACCAGCCAGTCCTTGGAAATCCAACAGGGCAGTTCTACTGTGTCCTATCGGGTGGCTATGAGTTGGAATCAACCTGAAGGCCATGGGTTTGGGGCTTTTTTTCCCTAATTATCTGGAATAGACACAACAGTCTTGCTTCAAATTTTATCATTAATCCAAAATTAAATCCTACATGGTTTAATTCAAATTATTGAAATGTGGTATATTCTTGATCTTGGTCTCTACATGAGACAGGTTTAACTATGGAACTATGGAAATTACTAAGCCTACATATATCCATATATTGATACATTTCAACAACATTGGGGGAGTGATTAAGGAGATGATACCACATTACTATTATTCAAAGTACTATCAGACTTGTTTAATGCTGACAACAATTCTGAGAGATAAATAAGGTAAGTATTATTTTATTTCTTTACCAGATAAGGAGACTTAAGCTTAGACAGGGATTTAGCTAAGGACACTGAAAATAGAAATAGTAAGCAGCAGTCAAGGAATCAAATGATGTATTGCATTGGATAAATCTGCTGCAAAAGACCTCTTGAAAGTGTTAAAAAGCAAAGATGTCACTTTGAGAACTAAGGTACGACTAACCCAAGCCATGGTATTTTCAATGGCCTCATATGCATGCAAAAGATGGACAATGAATAAGAAAAATCAAAGAAGAATTGATGACTTTCAATTATAGTGTTGGCAAAGAATATTGAATACACCATGGACTGCCAGAAGAACAAACAAATCTGCCTTGGAAGAAGTACATCCAGAATGCTCCTTGGAAGCAAGGATGGCAAGACTTCATTTCATGTACTTTGTTATCGGGAGGAACCAGTCCCTGGAGAAGGACATTGTGCTTAGTAAAGTAGAAAACCCACCGCCATAGCCCAGCTCATAGCAACCATATAGGACAAAGTAGAACTGCCTCATAAGGTTTCCAAGTCTGTGTAAATGTTTACAGAAGCAGAATGCCACGTCTTTCTCCCACAGAGTGGCTAGTGGGTTCAAACTGCTGACCTTTGGGCTAGCAGCCGAGTGCTTTAACCTCTGCATCACCAGGGCTCTAGTAAAGTGGAGTGTCACCAAAAAAGAGAAAAATCTGCAACGAGATGGATTGACACAGTGGCTGCAACAACGGGCTCAAACATAGCAACAATTGTGAGCGTGGTGCAGGACTGTGCAGTGTTTCCTTCTGCTATACATAGGGTCGCTATGAGTCAGAACCAACTCAACAGTACCTAACAACAACAACGACAACACTGAAAATAGAACTCAAATTCTCTGACTTCTAGATAAATGGTCTTTCCACTATCCAGTGGATAGTGCAACTCTATGTAAAAATATTTGTGACTCACGAAGTCCACCCAAAGAAGTTATCCCTCAAACCTTTAGGATGACTGTGTGGAATATATTACCCTTTGTATTTTTATTTTATTAAAAAAAAAAGACTTGTTTCTCTGATAATTATGATCTGTAAACAGGATTACTTTTTTACTTAAAACTAAATGGGGCTCATGGGGATAAAACTATGAAACACAGCACCATACTCTAGCCGTAGCTTTCACATTTTTTAAAAATAATTTATTTTCTTGTTGTTGTTGTTGAGAATACATATACACAGCAGAACATACACCAAATCCACAATCTCTACATGTACAATTCAGTGCCATTGATTACATTCCTCAAGTTGTGCAACCTTTCTCACCTTCCCTTTCTGGACTGTTCCTCCTCCATTAATATGCACTGCTCCCTAAGTTCCTTCTCTAACCTTTCGAATTGCTGCTGTCAGTTTGATCCCATATAGATAGTTCTTTAAAAGAGCACAATGCTCAGAACAGATAGGCATTATTTACTGATTACCCTAAACTACTGTTTGATTTAAAGAAGATTTCAGGGGATATTTTTGGCGTAAGGTTTAAGGTTTAAAGATTATCTCAGGGCAATAGTTTCCAGGGTTCATCCAGCCTCATCGGCTCCAGAAAGTCTGGATTCCATGAAAATTCAAAAGTCTCTTCTGTATTTTCCCCCCTTTCAATCAGGATTCTTCTGTAGACTCTTTGATCAAGGCTTTCAACTTTTTTTGACACAACTCACAATAAGAAATATCAGCACATGGCATGACACCAGACACACTTACATATATATATAACTTATATAAAAGTTTCACAAAACAGTACTTACACTTTCTAAATATGATGCTCTCTGATATTTCCTGTTCTATTATATTTCATATTTTTAAAGTAGTTGTCTTACATAGCTAGAGATGCTATAATAGAGCTACCACATGTGGATGCCTTTAACAAAGAGAAATTTATTCTCTCATGGTCTAGATGGCTAGAAGTCCGAATTCAGGGTACCACCTCCAGGGGAATGCTTTCTCCTTCTGTCAGCTCTGGGGGAAGTTCCTTGTCATCAATCTTGCCCTGGTCTAGAAGCTTCTCAGGGTAGAGACTCTGGGTCCAAAGGACATGCTCTGCTCCCAGTGTTTCTTTCTTGGTGGCATGAGGTCCCTCTCCTTTCTGCTTTATTCTCTTTTATATCTCAAAAGAGACTGACTCAAGATACAACCTAATCCTGTAGATTGAGTCCTGCCTCATTGACATAACTGCCTCTAATCCTGCCTCATTAACATCACAGAGATTAGGATTTACAAACACATAGGAAAATCACATCAGTTCACAAAACAGTGGACAACCACACAATACTGGGAATCATAGCCTAGCCAAGTTGATATACCTTTTGGGGGACACAGTTCAATCCATAACATTGGGTGAGGGCCCATTAAGTTAATTTTAAGGTCTTTAATGACCTAATAATGGGTCATGACCTACAGTTTGAAAATCATTTTTCTCTTTCACTAAATTATGCAAATATGACTCCATACCATAAATACATGTGTCTTCATCATCTAGTACAGCTCCAACAGAAATACCACAAGTGGATGACTTTAACAAAGAGAAGTTTATTCTCTCACAGTCTAGTAGGCTACAAGTCCAAACTCAGGGCATCAGCTCCAGGGAAATGCTCTCTTTCTCTGTCGGCTCTGGAGGAAGGTCCTTGTGATGTATCAGTCTTCCCTTGGTCTGGGAGCATCTCAGTGCAGGAACCTCAGGTCCAAAGGACGTGCTCTGCTCCCGATGCTGCTTTCTTGGTGGTGTGAGGTTCCCTTGTGTCTCTGCTCACTTCTCTCTTTCATATCTCAAAAGAGATTGGATTAAGACAGTATCTAATCTTGTAAACCTCACCAGTATAACCTCATCATAGAGATAGAGTTTACAACACATAAGGAAATCACATATAACCTCATCACAGTGACAGAGTTTACAACACATAAGGAAATCACATCAGATTTACAAAATGGAACACAATCATACAATACCGGGAATCACGACCCAGCCAAGTCGACAGATATTTTGGGGGACACAATTCAATCCATGACAATATGTAATAGTCATAAATTTATGTTAGCCATAAACTCAAAGAATCACAGTTATTGACAGACCAGAAAAATAAATTCAAAGAGTTAATAGGAAAAAAAATAGCTAAAGTAAAGGATCTGAATTTGTATGTCAGAATAGCTCACCTGTACAATTCCAATGAAAATCCTAACAGGTTTTTTGTAGAAACTGACAAGCTGATTTTAAAATTTGTTTGGAAATACAAAGGTCTTAGTATAGCCAAGACAATCTTGAAGTAGACGAAGAAAGTGGGAGGAGATACACAATCAAATTTCAAGACTTAATATAAAGCTATAGTAATTAAGGCAGAGTAATGAAAGTGCCAAAACAATTCAATGGGGAAAAGATTTTTTTCCCCAATAAATGTGCTAGACCCACTGGATATTTTTATTTTTAAAAAATAAACATATTCCAAAATTTACTCAGGAATTATGATACACCCAAATGTAAATGGTAAAACAATAAAGCATCTGAAAGAAAATATAGGAGAATAACTTCACAAGCTTGAAGTAGGCAAAGATTTCTTACACAGGATACAATTGGAAGAGGCTGCATAGGCCTGCCTCACTATTATTACTCCCCATTGCTAACCTCCACGTTGTCTCATGGTGTTGTTTTTCCCTCCGGTTCCAGTCTCTACAAAAGGTTTAAGATTAACCAATGTTCCTCCTTGGAGGGTGGAAAACAAGTGATAATGATCTAGGAATGACAAACCCAACAAAGTTCCCATCTTGGGACAAGAAAACCAGGATGTTACCAGATAACCCCCAAGAAAAGATTACCTCATCTGGGACGTGACCACATCTAGGGGGAACTAACACAAACTTCTAAGACCCATAATCCTGTCCCTATAAAAGCCTTCATCCGATCTCCAGTCGGGGAGATGGGTTTTTTGGAGGAATCTATTCCCCTCTGTCTCCTATATATCGACATATAATAAAACTCTTGGGGCTCACCTCACCCGTCTCAGAATTGGTTATTGCAGCAGCGGCTCCAATCCACGCTATTGCAGTAACACAATGAACTCTAATCATAAAGGAAAAAAATTGATAAATTCTGTTAAATTGTCTTTTTGAAAAAATGAAAAGATAAGCCATTACATTAGTTTACAGTTGCTATTGTGGTGGAGCCATGATGGCACAGTGGTTAAGAGCTTGGCTGCTAACCAGAAGGTCAGCAGTTCAAATCCACTAGCTGCTCCTTGGAAACCCTATGGGGCAGTTCTACTCTGTCCTACAGGGTTGCTATGAGTTGGAACTGACTTGATGGCAATAGGTTTGGTTTGGGTATTGATGTTGTAACAAATTACTACACATTTAGTGGCTTAAAACAGTAATTTATTACTGTCTTAGAGTTTCGGAGGTCAGAAGTCTCACTAGGCTAAACTCAAAATTTCAGCAGGGCTTCATTCCTTCTGGAGACTCTAGAGGAGAATCCATTTCCTTTCCTTTTCCAGATTTAGAAGCCACCTGTATTCCTCGGCTCACGGCCTTTCCTTCATCTTCAAGCCAGCAGCAGCGCATCTTCAAATCTCTCTCTCTCTGACTCTGCTTCTGTTGTCACATCTCCTACTCTCTGACTCTGACTCTCCCTCTCCTGCCTCCCTTTTATAAGAACCTTTGTGATTAGATTGGGCTAACATGGATAATGCAGGATATTTTCCCAATCTCAAGATACTTAATCACATATGCAAAGCCCCTTTTACCATGTAAGGTTAAATATTCTTAGCTCCTACGAATGAGGCAGGGACATTTTGGGAGATGGGAAAGGGCGTTATTCAGACTACCACAGCCATCATCAAAATTAAAATACTCTGTTTATCAAAAGACACTATTAAGAAAGTGAAAAGATAAGGCACAACACATCTATCTGATAGAATATATAAAAACTCCCCAAAGTCAATAAGAAGAAAAAAAAAAGACAAAGGAAGTCAACTCCACTTCACAAAAAATATACAAATGGCCAATAATCATATTAAGTCACTCAACATCATTACTCAAGGAAATGTAAATTAAAACCATAATGGGATAACACTGCATGTCAACCAGGATGACTAAAATTAATTAAAAAGATCGACAAGATGGCAAGAATATAGTGATACGCACACACATACATACAACGGTATGTATATGAGCATAAAAGGGCACAATCACTTTGGAAAACTGTTTGGCAGTACCTATCCTGCTGGCACAGAGGTTAAGAGATCAGCTGCTAACCAGAAGGTTGGCAGTTTGAATCCACCAGTCGCTTGTTAGAAACCCTATGGGGCATTTCGCTAAGAGTCGGAATTGACTCAGTGGCAATGGGTATCAATACGGTTACCTGTTGCTGTTGAGTCAATCCCGACATGTAGCGACCCTATAGGACAGAGTAGAACTACCCCATAGGGTTTCCAAGGAGCAGCTGGTGGATTCAAACTGTCAACGTTTGTTAGCAGCCATAACTTGCCATAGCTCTTAACCACTGTGCCACCAGAGCTCCAATTAATAGGGTAAGGCCCAGCAGTTCACTCCTAGGTATTTATCCAACAGAAATAAGCGTATAAATCCACAAAAGGATATGTATAAAAATGTTAATGGCATCTTTATTCATAACAGCCAAAAAAAAAAGAAAACAACCCAAGAGTCTATCAGTACCATACTCTAGCCAATGTCCATTTCCAAAAGTTTATCAGTAAAAGAGAAGATAAGTAAATTGTGCTATGTTCATAAAATTGAACACTACATAGCAACAAAAAAAGAACAAACTACTGATACATGAAACGATAAGGATGACTCAAAGATGTTTTATTGGGTGAAATTGGTCAGATATGAAAAAGTATATGCTGTATAATTCCATTTCTATGAAGTTCAAAAACTGGCTAATGTAATCAATGGTGACAAAATTCAGAATCATGGTTACCTCATGTACGGAATAAACTGGGAAGGGACATGAGGGAATCTTCTGGGGCATGAGGAATATTCTAGGTCTTCATCTGGGTGATAATTACATGGTATATATGTAAATAAAAAATAAACTGTATTGTGGTTTTACAGAATTTACTATATTTATATCACATTTGTTATTATTTATGTTATACCTCAATTTAAAATAAATAAAAATAATATTTTCTTAATTCTCACTGTAAAAAGGAAAAACTAATAGCCAATATTAACAACTAAATTATACATCTTAGCAAATTTATTGAACTTTAAAGATAAAGAATGACAGACTCTTCTGTAGAAAAAGCAGGTTACCTTCAGTAAGAAAAATACCACGCTTATCTTTTCCTCTGGAAATGAAGTCTACAGAATACTGAAGGGAAAACTATGTGATTCAATGATTCTTTACCCTGTATGGAGGATGGAGACATATTTAATGTTAAAAGACATTCTAAAAAATATAAGAACTTATAAATTAGGGCACTCACAAAACCTTCCTGGAAAAAAAAATCTAATCAAACACGTACTCCAACCACACCAAACAGGAATCAAAGCTCAGCATGTAGAAATGGAGTCTACATGGTAAAATGACTGTTAGTTTGTTGCATAAGCAAATACGTGTGCCAAAATTGCTCATGAAGATAAGGCTGATCTACAAATTCTTGAATCTTTGCTTTCTGTTTTTTTTTCTTGGAATCTTCCATATCTTCAGTGCTACTGTATATTAAATCATTCCATATCTTAAAAATACAGCTAAATAAGTCACACTTAGAAGTGAGTCTAAATTTAATTAAGTATAAATAACTTGCTCTAGAATATCAAGGATGGAGTGTAAAATCTTAACAACTACCAGAGAGAACAGATAGATTTCTACAAAGGAATAATTTGTAGAGCTCTTATGAACAATAACAGATGTAAAAGATAAGGGAGTTGTATCCTGAGAAACTTGAGGAAAAATAACTCTGAACCTAGAATTCAAACCCATCTAAATGTCATTCCAAGAGTGATGATGATTCAGACATACAGCAAAGTTTACCATTGACAAACTTTCAATTAAAAAGAAAAAGTAGAGAGAAGGTGTGGAATATATAAAACAACGAATATGAAACACATTAGTGATTTTAATTATCTATGGATTAACAAAAAAAAAAGTTTCAAGTTAAAAAAACACTGTGATTTTTCAGATGGTATTTTAAAAGAAAAATCCAACCATATATTGCTTTTAAGAGATGCTTATAAAACAAAACCAGACCAAAATAAAAGAATGGAAAAATATTTGCAGCAAATATTAACCAAAAGAAAACTGATAGAGCAATAATAATGTGAGGAAAAAATAGAATCAAGGCAAAAAGAAAAATACTACAAAGGATAAAAAGGGATATTACATAGTAATAGAAAGAACAATTTGTCAAGAAAATATAGTAATCATAATTTCTTAACAGCCAATATCACACAAAAAATACCCCTTTTCCATCAAGTTGATTCTGACTCATGGTGACCCCATGTGTTACAGAGTAGAAATGTTCCATAGGGCTTTCTTGGCTATAATCTTTACAGAATGTCAGCAATCAGCCAACTGCAAAAAGCTTGTGCCACCCAGGCTCCTTGCCAACATTAACAACCTGTTAACATATAAGCAAAATCTTTACCAAAGAAATTGAGATACCAATAATCATAAATGGGAGATTTTAACACATCCCTATCAGAGAGCAAAATGGCAACGTGGGTGGCACAAATGGTTAAGCGCTCGACTAAAAGCTGAAAACTTGGCAGTTCGAACCTATCCAGAGGCTCCCTGGAAGACAGGCCTGGTGATCTGCTTCCAAAAGGTCAGTCTTGAAAACACTATGGAGCAGTTCTACTGTGCATACATAGGATTGCTAGGAGTCAGAATCTACTTGACAGCAACTAACAGCAACATTGGAGCCCTCGTGGTGCAGTGGTTTAGCATTTATTTGGCTGCTAACCAAAAGGTCTTCAGATCGAATCCACCAGCCACTCCTTCTTGGAAACCCTATGGGGCAGTTCTACTCTGTCCAATAGGATCACTATGAGTCAGAATCGACTCAAGGACAACAAGTTTCTCAGAGACTAAACATGCAAGGAAATAAGTTATTAAGATATAAAAGAGGAGGTGGAGCCAATATACTATAGACAGAAGCACCATGCCATCCCTCCACAGCAAAGACCCAAAAAACTAAGTAAAATGGAGACAAACATCAATCCTGGAACCTTAAGCATCAAATGAAGAGATAAAGAACTCAACCAAGCACTGAATGAAAAAAGAAAATGACAGAGCAGAGAGAGAGGAGAGATACGGAGTGGAGTTCCCCTATCAGCTAACGCAACATGGATTCGCCATCTTGGACTCCTGTCAGAGATGGGCAGACAGGGAATACAGGAAAACAGCTTCATGGGGCTCCCAGCAGGAGATAGATCGCCCACTGGACCTGCCCTGATTCACCCCAGCTGAATGAATGGCTCTGCCCACTGGACAAGGTAGTGAGAAGTATTGTGCTCACAGATGAGCAAACAACAAAGAACACAGAGCCTGCCTGCTCAGATATAACCAAATAAAACAAAAAAGCAGGATGAACCAAACAAATCTACAATCGATAAACGAAGAAGTAACTACTGAGTGTCTCGAAGACAGCAGACAATATTAAAACATAAAAAAAGGACAGAATGTTTCCAGTAGGCGTTCAAAATAAAACACTCGATGACTTTCCAGTAGACGAAAGGCACTAGAACTACCTGATAGGGAATTCAAATCTCCAATATTCAGAGTTATCCAAGAGTTGAAGCAAAAAGTAGAAAAATGAGGAAAAAATAGACAAATTCATGGAAATGGCAGACAAATTTATGGAAAATACAGACCAAAGAAAAGGAAGAATTCAGGAAAATAATACAGGAACAAAATGCCAAAATAAATTCACAACTAGAAATCATATAAAAACAACAAGATTTCAGAAATGGACAGTGTCATAGAAGGGCTGAGGAGCAGGTTTGAAATGATGGAAGATAGAATCAGTGAAATTAAAGACAAACACTTGGATACAAATCTGTTTGAGGAAAAATCAGAAAAAAGAATGAAGAAAAATGAAG